TTCAGTGTCTCTTGATTTCTTCAGACCTGTTTTCCAGCTGTTAATAACTGGTTTTTTGATATCGTAAGCCAGACTTGAATGTTTTAGTATCTAGTTAAAGGATATATATTTTGGTAGTAGGTATAAATTATAAAAGCATCTTAGAATGAACATTCTTTGAAAAGTACTATGAAGGAGAAAAGTAACCTTGGTTAGAAGCTAGATACTTTACATACGTTTCTAATTTATTTTATGTAATAACTAAATTATCCACATTGCAATATTTATTTAAATTCCTTATTTTTGCCTGAGCATATATGTTTTCCATACTGCTCCTAGGCAGGAAGTGCTATTTTTTTCCTTTTGGTTTGCAGGAACACCTTTGTCCTAGAATATTGTGGAGAGGTACTCGATCATAAAGAGTTTAAAGCTCGAGTAAAGGAGTATGCACGAAACAAAAACATCCATTACTATTTCATGGCCCTGAAGAATGATGAGGTAAGCAGCATGGATATGTTTGCCTTGAAACAGATCTGTTAGGTTTGAAGGAGCCATTGATACTGACTGATTGAATTTTTTTTTTTTCTTTTTTTGAGACGGAGTCTCGCTTTGTCACCCAGGCTGGAGTGCAGTGGCGAGGTCTCGGCTCACTGCAACTCATGCCTCCTGGGTTCAAGCGATTCTCCTGCCTCAGCTTCCTGAGTAGCTGGGATTACAGGCGCCCGCCACCACGCCTTGCTAATTTTTGTATTTTTAGTAGAGCCAGGGTTTCACCACGTTGGCCAGGCTGGTCTTGAACTCCTGAGCTCACCAAAGTGTTGAGATTACAGTTGTGAGCCACTGTGTCCTGCTGACTGATTTCTAAAATATATTAAGTGACAAAAATGAGGGGCAGAGCAGTATAAATAGTTAGCTTCTATTTGTTTACAAAAAGCATGGAAGTTACTGTTGCATCACAAGGTAGAAAATAAAAATATGGAAGAGAGAGGAATTTACATATATATGTAAAGATAAACGTAGTGTGTTTTAGATTACAACTCTCAGAAATTATTGATGACCCCCAGAGTGCTTTTTCTTTCTTTTTTGTTTGGGAGACCGTGTCTTGCTGAATTACCCGGGCTGGAGTGTGGTGGTGCCATCTTGGCTCATTGCAACCTCTACCTCGTGGGTTCACGAGATTCTTGTGCCTCAGTCTTCTGAGTAGCTGGGACTACAGGCATACACCATCATGCCCAGCTAATTTTTGTATTTTTAGTAGAGACGGGGTTTTGCCATGTTGGCCAGGCTGGTCTTGAACTCCTGGACTCAAGCAATCCACGTGC